GCATGTAATGGCAAGCGATCATGCAAATCTGGTGTCGTAGCTCCATGTGGATGTCGCCTTAGTGCACCGTTACTTCTTGATACTCCTCAATCCGAACCATGTTGACGAAGTTGCGTGGCTTTGGCCGAGGTCGATGTATAAAACACAGATCCGAGCAGCGTTGTATATTGTACGTGTAGTTGGAAGCAGTGTTTCGCAGGCCGTAGGGCTGAGCCTGGTAATTCTCCATCAAGGCTTCGCACTCAGAGAGCCGGAGACCCATTGCGGGGGTTGGTCGGCGACGAACGGAGCGCCCTTCAGGAGTAGATGTGACCACAAGATCCGTACCGAGTCGTGCAGGACGACTGGCCCGAGCTGGTCGAGTAGATCTGTTGTGGGTAGTGGTTACCTACTCGAAAGGTTGATTTTGAATTGAATCTACCAGAGCTAGGGTTTTAGCAAGCTTGGTGCCGATCTGATCGATGGAGTCGAGCAGGTCGGTGTTGTCGATCTGCCTCCCTTTGTAGCGAGGAAGCGAACGACGGGTTGTCGGCGTGGCTGAAGACGATGCTGGTGTGGTCGGAGCTAGATCCAACATGGTCGGAGCCGTAGCCGATGCTGGTGAAGCAGTGGTCGACGCAGATTGGATATGCGCCTCCTCCGTGGTCATGGCGATGAAGTTGTTGGAGCCAGTGGTCCAGGTGATCTGGCCGATGGTGAACGTGAGGCCGTTCGACGTAGCCATGGAACCGGGGATGATGACCACCTTGTTCGTCTGGGGAGCAGTATGCACACCCCCTACCTGGTGCGCCACTGTCGATAAAATATGGTCGGCAGTCTACCTAGGGGTATGCCCAAGGTAGTAGATTATCGGTAGACAGATGTTAAAGTTACAAACAAGATGGTGACGCAAGACAGACACGAGGTTTTATCCAGGTTCGGCCGCTGTGAAGGCGTAATACCTACGTCCTACGTCTGATTGTATTGTTGTATGTCAATGAGAGATTGTGATGTTTTGAGAGGGGTCCCCTGCCCGCCTTATATAGTCTAGGGGCAGGGTTACAGATCTGGAAACTAATCCCAACCGGTTACAATTGCCATAGGTAGCCAGATAAAGATTCCTATTCTAATCGACTAGGATCTTGCTTGATCTCCAAGTCTGCCTTGATTCCTTGCGCGTGACTCCGAGCAGATCGGCTGGGCCGCATGTCGTCTTCTGGTGGGCCGGACCCCCTGGTCCGGGACGGCCCAAACCTAGCCGTAAGGGTATAGAGGTTAATACCCTAACGATCACCAAGCTCCAATCACCACCAAGCCGTCTAGGTGATGGCGATCACCAAGAGTAACAAGCACGAACTCTCACTTGACCATGACAAGCCTAATGAGAAGGGTGGATGCACACTTTGCTACTCTTGATCTCACTAATGAGGGCTCTCTTTGGGATTATCAAATCTCAATCACCTCACTAGGACCTTGCTCTTCTTGGCACTCTCAAAGGTGTTTCTTAGCTGTTGGAATGAGCAAAAATACCCCCACACACGAGTGGAGGTGGTATTTATAACACCGGCTGAAAAACAAACCGTTATGTGCCTCTGCGGGGTGACCGGAGGCTCCGGTCATGTTGACCGGACGCTCCGGTCAGTTCACACCGAACTCCAGTGTTTAAGATGTGACCGAACGCTGGCCAGCGTCCGGTCAGCACTGACCGGACGCGTCCGGTCGTGATTTTTCCTCTCTGGAACCATACTGGAGTCGACCAGATGCTGGCCCTCAGCGTCCGGTCACTTCACCTCTCAGCGTTCGATCGCACCAGATGAAAACACCTTGGTCAAATGAACTGACCGGACTCTGCGCCAGCGTCCGGTCACACCAAAACCAGCGTCCGATCAGTATTTGACCCTCCATTCACTTCCAACTCTCGATCATACGTGAATGAAGTTTACTCCATTGGATCTAAGGGCTATTTTGGAGCTACCTAGTGCTAGTTTTAGCAAGTGTGCACCACACCTAACCCATTAGACTCACCTAGGTCAAGCTACCCATCCATACCCCCCTTAATAGTACGGCCAAAGGAAAAACAAAGTCCTAAACTACTCTAAGTGTCTCTTCAACTCCAAACGACACTTAGAACTAGTCCATTCTTAACCTTGTCGTCCATCCTTTGAAAACCAAAACGATTTCCATCGTAGGGGCATGACCACCATGATTGCCCAATCGATCTCCATTACCATGACCTAACTTAATTGCCTCTACAAAACACACGTTAGTCATAGTAATCACGTATTGTCATTAAGCATTGAAACCCAACTAGGGGCCTAGATGCTTTCAATGTAGAAGTGATCAACTCGCTGAAATCTGTCTCTTTGTATTGGGTGACCTTGTCACGCCGATCTTTAGTGCAACTCTGAAGAAAAGTCTTCAGAACGGCATTGAACTTGGCTTCCACTTGTTGCTTCAGCTCCTCGGGAAGCTTTTCAACGGTCTCGGGATGGTTGATGTTAGCATCATGAGGGACTTTAGTCTTATCGCCCTTCTCACCTGCATCATCACCCTTGCTTCCCATGCCAGTCTTAGATTGAATCTTGGATTGCTTTGCTTTCCCCAACGGAGTCGCCAAAAAGTATGTTGATGTTGAAGATGACCTCAAGCCAACACACTAGAAGGGCCTTGGACGCCCAAAGAGGTTGTAGATTAACCTGCAACGCAGCAAGAACGCAGCGTAATTGACCAAACCGATCTAGAGACCGATAAAGCCGATGTAGAGCCTGTTCTTGGCTGAAAAGACTCCCTAATTTCTCCTGGGAAGACCCGTCAGGGAGGAGTACGTGGACGATCTCCTAGGACCAGCAAGGTTGCCTAGGATGCCGCTGAATCTCGCCGAGAAACTCAACGAACAGTAGGAAGGGGTTGAGAGAGGGGAATTAGGGCAAAAGGAGCTGATAGTTGTGTTTTTGACGATTGGATAGATGGGATCTCAATCGGCCATGATCCTCTGATATATATAGAGGGGGGGTGATCTTATCTCAGCAGGAAACATCTCCAAGACGCGTTCTTCAAGTTTTCCATGTAAAAAATATACCAAAAACCGATTTTAGGAAGTCTTCTACTTGATTTCCAGGAGGAGTCGGCTTAGCCGACAAGGGGAGTCGGCTAAGCCGACTTTTGCGGGCTCGGGCAGGTGCCTGGCCGGCTGATGAAGTCGAGTCGGCTTAGCCGACTCTGGCAGTCGGCTAAGCTAACTGGGGGTGACAGGGTTGGCTAAGCCGATTGCACAGCTAAGCCGACTGCAGGTGTCGGCTAAGCCGACTGGCTATGGCTCGCCGTCTTCTCCGCGCATTTCGTTCGTTATTTTGTTGCGCCGCTTGACGTTAAACTTGTCCAAGATGTTTATAACTTATGCATGGTGCCCGAAACCACCTTGGGACATTTTTGGGTGTCAAGAGGTATAGATAGTCTCTCGAAGATGCTAGTTTTTTTGGGCTTATAATACCGTTAATATTTTAAGCATTTATGTCCTATAATAATGTTGGTATAATTTCTTGCATGTAGAGACGAAGCCGCATATTGTTCCATTACCTAAAAAATAGCCTTGATATAACTAATGGTTGTATCAACCTATTATAGTATGACTTTGATTAATAAACCGGCAAGGTTGCTCTTATTCGGACGGATGGGGGCAGCTTTACCCCGTTCGCTTCGCTGAAAAAATAAGTCGAAACACTGTTCTGACTGAATTGTTGTGAGAGAAAAACACTGTTTTGGTTGAAAAAATAAGCTAAAAAGTATGTATTATTGTGGTGCTGAATGGAACCGTGAGGAGAAAGAAAAGGAAGTAGAAGTCGATTTCACGCTGGAGCAACTGAACCATGGGAAAAGATTTTACGGTTCGATCGTCAGACAAGGTTCAAACACTGAGAATAAAAAAAATACACTAGCAGTTGGGATGTGACGCATTGACAAGAGGAGAAGGGTGTTAAAGTTGGAGAGAGAAAACGAACGACCTTTTCTTTTTTTTAATGAGTCAGCGGGGGAAAAGAATTTCCCACTTGAATATATTGTATCGGATAAATTACCACTCAAACCCTTACAACACAATACCACCAACAACACACACACGAGACAGAGCGGAGGACAACCACAAAACGCAACATCTGAATGCATTTGTAAATATACACTAGCTAGTGTCAATTCATTTGTAAATACATCAACTGTCTTTGTATAATACGCGTTAGTAGTTTGTAATGGAAGTCCTCCTTTCATCGATTGATGGGACATACACATGCAACATCTGAATGCACGTTGCGCTTGACAATTTTCCGTGAGACATGTATTTATCGCTTCTTTTGTTCTTTTATAGTGTAGATAGATAGATGGATTCGATACAAATTTAATAGAACATGTAATATTATTGCCATATTAACTTATATTATGGATGTTATGATCATCATAAAATATATTATAGCTTTTAAATTTTATAAAAAATAAAATATAAATAGATATATACTATTTTTGTCATTGTTTTTCTAAAAATGTTTGATATTTTTTCTCTCCTATTGCAACTTGAGTATATTTGCTACTAGTAAACACTTATGACACAAATAGGTATACTATAAAACTATATTATATGACAATTAGATGACATACATCATAAATATTGATATTTTTTTTTCTATATATAATCTCAAACCTATTATAGTATGACTTTGATTAATAAACCGGTAAGGTTGCTCTTATGCGGACAGACGGAGTAGTTGCTTATAGTGAGATGGCGACCTTTTCTTGGAATCAGAGGAAATATACACAAGCTAGTGTCAATTGATTTGTCAAAAAAAAAAAAAAAACTGTACGTCTTTGTAACAATACGCGTTATAGTTTGTAAATGAAAGTCCTTTCATCGATCGATGGGGCATACAGATGCAACATCATCACGTTGTATGTATGAATGCATACGCTGCGCTTAACAATTTTCCGTCAGACTACATGATGTTACGCTTGTTGCTCATCGTCGTGGCCGATAACGTCTATATTTGCTGCTGCTGCTGATTGGGATAGGGAGCCGGCTCGTCGTCAGCGGCGCCTCCGCCTGCGACCATGAGGTACTCGAGCGCGGTGACGACGTCACTGATGGCGGGGCGCATAGTGGCATCTTCCTGGAGGCACATGGCTGCGATGGCGAGCGCCTGGTAGAGTCCCTTGGTGGGGTAGGCTCCCTGGAGCAGCGGGTCGGCCATCTCGGCGAAGCGTCGCTTGTCCTTGAAGCGCGGGCCGGCCCAGAGGACGAGGTTGTGCTTGTCTGGCGGCCTGGTGGTGTCGATGGCGCGGCTGCCGGTGATGATCTCGAGGAAGACGACGCCGAAGCTGTAGACGTCGGACATGGTGGTGAGCTTGCCCGTGAGCGCGTACTCTGGGGCGCAGTAGCCGTAGGTGCCCATGACGCGCGTGGAGACGTGGGTCTTGTCGCCGACAGGGCCGACCTTGGCGAGCCCGAAGTCGGAGAGGCGGGCGCGGAAGCCGGTGTCGAGCAGGATGTTGGAGGCCTTGAAGTCGCGGTAGATCACGGGCGGGCGCGCGGTGTCGTCCAGGTACTCGAGGCCGCGCGCGGCGTCCTGCGCGACGCTCATGCGCGTGGCCCAGTCGAGAAGCGCGCCCCGGGGGCAGGTCCAGCAGGTGGTCCTCCAGGAAGCCCAGCAGCGTCACCAGGTTGGGGGTGCTTGAGCAGGCTGAGCATGAGCGCCTCCACCAGGAACTCGCGCGTGCCCTGCATGCCGTTGCGGTCCAGCTGCTTGACGGCCACCTCCGGGCCCGACGGCGACCCCAGGCGGTCCCTGTACACGGGGCCGAAGCCGCCCTCGCCCAGCAGCGACTCCGGCCGGAACCCGCCCGTGTGGCCTCGGACAGCTCGGCGTACGTGAAGGCGCGCGCCGTCACCTTGCCCGCCTTGCCCATCTTGAGGATCTCCTCGGCCACCCGCCTGTGACGGTAGCTCACTGCATGCATCACATTTGCCCATTATTATTTGAATGGATGGATATATTGGATTGGATGATCATCGATCGATCACGATAAAGGTGGGTATGGTACCTGACTCGGCGACGATGTCGTTGACGAGGGCGACCAGGTTGCCGTTGTCGATGCTGTCGGTCCTCCTGCTGCTCTTCTCCTCGCCGGCGGCCTGCCGCTCGGGGGGAGCACGACGATCATTGTTTCGGTACGACGAGGGGGTAGAGGACGAAGAGGTAGCCGGGGACGAAGCAACAACGTGATCATGGGGGGCGCTCCCGTCGGTGTGGACTGCAAGCAAACACAAGATGCCCATCGTCGTCGCCGTCCAATGATTTCCGACTTGTCCGCGTCGATGGATCAAGCGGTCAGTTGGCTAGCGGCAGTCGAAACGAATGCTTGAGCAAATTCGAATCAGAATCGAATTTGCCCAAGCATTCACCCAAATCCAATTCGATTGGATCGTGTGTACAAATGACACGATGGCAATGCAGCGGCAAGCCGTGCGCTCCGCCGGCCGGCGAGGGGAGGGGATCGCAGGAAGCGAATATCCAATTGGATGGAGGCTTGGCCACGGAACAAGAAGCAGCAGCAGCAACAAACAAATCAAAAATAACAGGCCGCCTAGAATGTGAATGATCGGGTTGTCATGTTGCGAGCAGACAGACCCCGCCAGGCCACCAAAACTGGACCAATGTAACTGATGGCAGGCCAAAAATAGCATATTGTCGCGTGCAGGATTGCGTGCTTGCAGGTTGCTTCTGCTGCTAATTTTGGAACAAAAACAACTGCTTCTCTTGATCTCTATTTCATCTACAGGGAACATTCTAGATGACGTGATTGATGAGTCTATTCCTCAAATTTGATGGAATGACTCCAATCCTCAGACTAGTGTTAATTATTAGCCTGTGAAATGAGGTGAGGATGCTTCAATCCATTCCATTCTACAAACAAAACAAAAAAGTGAGGAGTGAGAAGATGGACTAACTTGTTCCTCAAACCAAACACCCTACTAATATTTGGAATCCATTCAGATGACAGAATCACCCGCCCTCCATGGAATTCAGTACATACCAATCACATAGATTAGCCAGGTGCTGACTTGAAAATATGGCAGCTTAACACTCGCTCTCTGGATCCCCATCTTCCCCACGGCCATCGCTAGCAAGATTCACCTTAACCAGCTTTTTCTGCTCCTCATCATCTGAAGGTACATGAAGATGAGCCTCCAGCATAAGGATCTCCCAGTCGTGATGCCGCATAAACGAAAGCAGACCATCCTCTACACAACACAAAAGATTCCATCATCGTTTTGTATCAAGTATATGTGACTAATCGGAGCACAACAAAGGAGAAAATTGTAACCAAACCTCCATTTCGGGTTGCCTTAATCTGGAGAAATCCTGACCCATGTGGCCCAGATACAGGGAATGTGCATGACACAGATCTCCGTCGATGTCCTACCTCAAGAGAAGCCTCATACCACGGTCCTCTGACTATAGGCGCTCCAATTGCTTCCACAACCGCAGGGTTGTCAGCAGCATGCTCGATTGCCTTACTGAAAACGTTCAAACTTGTAATTTTTTGTTAAAGCAGACAAAAAAGCAATGTTATATCCATGTAAATTTCTACCATTGCAAGGGACAAAAAGAGAATATATGGAAAATGGAATTCATACGCATCTAGAAGAACATTATTAAGGTAACATAAACTTCATGGCTGATTAACAAAAAAAAAACGGCCATATAAAAAATTAAGATAAAAGGAAAATAAACTAAGATGTCTAGAATTTATTAGAATATTGAATGAGAGCAAGAGGACATTATTTATTCTCTACGGCTAAAGCAATGGAGACCAAATAAACCACACACATCACACGTGTATGAGGACTTAACCCAACTGTTCTTGTTTTCATTAAAGAAAAAAAGCACCATTCACTTTGCATTAAAAAAAACACCATTGGTCTTTTAAAAAAAGCACCATTCACTAAACCAACAAATTACCATGCAACCAGATAGTAGGATTGCATAATGGTTGTCCCAGATAAAGTCAAATTTTGCAGTGAGTGTTGTGCTGACATATTGTAAACACATTAACATTGATACCCAGTGGTGAGCAGTTGATTGTTCCCAAAATGGACTCCTACAATTCACATGATATGAACAGAGGCAAGATGTTCGGACCTCACCATGCTACTCTAAAAGAAAGGCAACATGTTTGCACCTCCCCTGATACTCTAAAAAAGGCAAGATGTTTGAGTTTGGGGAAATTGCCCACTGTGCCATACCCATTCCATCCTGTACATCCCATTGATGTGCAAAGAAATCACATCTCTTTGCTCCTGAGTAAAGACCAAACTACTTGCTGGCATGCAGTTCAATTCTCTCTAGTAACCGAGGAGCGTAAAACATTAGGAACACAATAGTAGATTGGGCTGGATTAATTTTGTTTGGAGAGACGAAGCCGAAAGAAAGGAGGAGAAAGGAAGCTGACGTTGTGCATCCATTGAAGATGGCGAGGTCGTTGACGGCGCTGAGCACGAGCCCCCCAGCAAGGCTGATGGCCCCGATCGACAGGACCCTCCGTGGTAGCGAGCTCTTGCGGCTTCCGCTGGAGTCGCTTCTGAACGAGCTGAAGCCAAAGTTTTGGCATGGCACAGAGAAGAAGACGAGAGATCTCGGGGTCAGTTCGGGCTAGGAATTTGGAAGGCAAGATTTGTAGATGAATTCCTACCGATAGATAAGACCGCCGGTACAGACTCCTGGAGTGCGAAACTGGGTGATTCCGGCGAGCTTTCTCGCCGCCGCCGCCGCCGCCGCCCATCTCCACGACATTTCACTTCTCCCCGCCGACGGAGAAGACAGAAGAGGATGGAGGCAAGGAAAAATATAAGGAAGCCCAACAAGTTACATCATTAATGGGCCTCAGCCTGGTGTGGCCCGGCCGCGCGGCCCAAAAGTGAATCGCATCGCATTATCTCCGCTGCACCATCCGCGACCTTCTCCCACCTGTTGCTTGCTGCTGCTCCAATCTGCAGTGGAGTCGAATCGATGGCGCGGCGTTGTCGTCGTCGCCGTCGCTTCGGCACCTCCTCCTCCTCCGCCCGCGCTTGCTCCTCAGCCCCACCTGCCTTGCTGTCTCGTTCTCGCGCCGCCACATCCATGGCCGCCGCCGTCTCTTCTTCTCTGCATCCTCCTCGACACTGACCCACGGCGACGCCGCCTCGACGCACGGTGATGCTGATGCCGTCGTCGACGTCAACCCTCCGTGCGGAACTAGGGACTTTCCTCCGGAGGACATGCGTCTCCGCACCTGGTTCTTCGACCAATTCAGGGAGGTCTCCCGCATCATGGCCTTCGAGGAGGTGGACTTCCCCGTCCTTGAGTCGGAGGCGCTCTTCATTCGAAAGGCAGGGGAAGAGATTACGCAGCAGGTCAACCCCCTCTCTTTTGTCTTCTTATACTCATCATTATTCAGCTGTTAAGCCCATTCTGCTTTCTGAATTGAACTCTCTTTTGTCTTCTTATTCTCATCATTATTCAGCTGTTAAGCCCATTCTGCTTTCTGAATTGAAGTCATTTATAACTTTGCTTTTGATTCTGCACCGCAGCTCTACAACTTTGAGGATAAAGGGGGTCGACGTGTTGTTCTCAGGCCCGAAATCACCCCTTCCCTCGCGCGCCTAGTCATAAAGCAAGGGTATGTATGCCTTTGCTAATCTGTTTCTCACCCATTGTAGTATCTATTCATGCCTCTTCTTTCCGTCAGAATGTGATGTTCACCTACTCTTCTTCTGTCTAGAAAATCAGTCTCCCTTCCACTAAAATGGTTTACTATAGGACAGTGCTGGCGATATGAGCGCATGACCAGAGGAAGAAGAAGGGAACATTACCAATGGAATATGGATATGTTTGGTGTGCCTAAAGTTCGGGTACCACCCTTCTCCTTTATTGATTCCGGATGCTGCTGTGCTCGTATGCTTTTGAACTGATTCAGCATTGCCATCTCATTCTTCGAATCAGGCTGAGGCTGAGCTTCTTCATGCTATTGTTCTCTTATTTCAACGTCTTGGAGTTACATCTTCAGATGTGGGGATCAGGGTGTCCAGTCGGAAGGTAACCTTTCACACTCACTCAAGTATCCCTCTTTAGTTTCACATTTTCCTTAATGCTTCCCGTTCGTGTATTTTGTGCCTTTTGATTTGGCCGTATGACTTCCAAAAGTAAATTGTTAAGTTTTGTTAGTACACTATTAATCTCAGACTCTTAAACTACTATGACCAAATTGGTATTGTACATAACCCTGTAGCTTCATGGTATTTGGATGTCCTTTTTTATTCCTTACCTATATCATAAGGAGATGAGAACTGTGGGAACTGGATTACCTAAAAATGATGTAGCTGCTGACACCTGAATATGTTATAACCTCTTGATATTTGTTAGTGCATGTGTTTTCTCTGATTTCTTGCTGGCTCTCATTTTCTTTTTGCAGGTTCTTCAGGCTGTGTTGAACATATACTCCGTCCCAGAACATTTATTCACTGAAGTTTGTGTTATTGTCGATAAAGTATGCCCAAATTCTGCTACTGACTTACCACCTGCTCATTGCTGATTGCTGTACCATATTATCTTCTTGCCAGTTTTACTGTGTAGCTCTGGGTTGCGGTAGCATGTTATCTGCTTTCCAATTATACTCTATTTGTAGCTTTGGGAGCTGACAAGCTGTCGTAATTTATAACATTGAAGTACAAATAGAAATATGATGATTTTTTTTATCTTCTTCAGCTTGTTATATTTTTCTTATATATACTAGAGGTCTAACCTTTTCGGTAATGGAACAAATCTTAAACCACCTCAACTCTTACTAGAGTCCAGAGATAACCCTTCAAAAACTGGTTGCCTTTTAAGGCCTTCTCCAGTGGCTGAACCCTGCGATGATGTATGAGCTGAAGAATTGATTCTTCATCACTGGAGGCCAACTGGAGCCTGCTGTCATGGGGGAACCGAACCTAAAATAGGAATCAGTTCTTACTCATTAATTAAACAATCATTTCTGTGAGGAGAGGCAGAAATTAACACACCACTGGAGAAGGAAGAGTAAAAACCATACCCGTCCTCTTTGGCATGCCTTTTTGCCAGTAATTGAACCCACCACTAGAGAAGGCCTAAGAGTTTGGCACTTGCTACGAAGAGCACATGTTGCTCCATTATATGGTGACGTGGACCATTCTACCTCTATTATGAATTTGGAATTAACCAGTAACCAATTACCATAGAAGTCCAGTCTCTGGAACAGATTATCACTGTTTTGTTTTTCATATATTAACTATTTGTAACAATTAGCTGGATACCCATGCATTGATGTAATTGTTTATTGCTATACTTTTGTTGGTGTAATGAATTGTTTATTGCTATACTTTTGTTGGTGTAATGACTGTTTTTCATTCTAACATAAGCATTATGCAGTTGGGTAAAATGACTAGGGAAGAAATTGAGAAGGAACTTATTTCAACTGGGCTGTCATCTGTAGCTGTTCAGGGTATCATCGATGTGCTTTCACTCGAGTCACTGTCCAAGCTTGAAGGTTTTCTCCTAATCTGTTGTTGTTGGCTTGTTATTATGCATGCTCCATATGATATACCTTTACTTGAATATTACATTGAGATAATGTTGCTAAATTGGAAAATATTATTATCTCTTACATCGGGATTTTGTGCTTTAGTTGTTGTTAAGCTGACAATCTTGGCTTTCCTTATCCATATAAATGTTGGCTTTTTAATCTTCAGGACATTTGGCAAAGGTTCTTGTTTAATCTTGATATGCTTATGCAGAGGTGTTAGGCTCTGGTGTTGAAGCTGTTGCTGACTTGAAGAAACTCTTCTCTTTTGCGGAGCAATATGGTTATGCTGATTGGATTTGTTTTGATGCATCAGTGGTCCGTGGCCTTGCATACTACACAGGAATTGTATTTGAGGTTGTTTTCAGCTTATCTCTTTCTTATGTCAACAGCAGGATCACTAACAAAGTAACAAGCAGAGAAGGGGCCATGTCATCAAACTGCACATGAAAGCTTATTTGGAAAAGATATATTCGTTTTCAGATAATAATCTCTATTTTATTTACAAAAAATATTTATGTAGCATTTGCATGGTTTGGGTGAAGGGCGGGCCTGGTGCAAGCGGTAGAGTCTTACCGCCTGTGACTGGAAGGTCCCGGGTTCGAGTCGTGGTCTCCTCGCATTACACAGGCGAGGGTAAGGCTTGCCATTAACACCCTTCCCCAGACCCCGCACAGAGCGGGAGCTCTCTGCACTGGGTACGCCCTTTATTTGCATGGTTTGGGTATGTGTGGCTTTGTAACTTGTAAGGGTTCCTACCCTTTTTTTCTTCTGAATATAATGATATGTAGCTCCCTGCATATTAAAGAAAAAGTATTTCTGCAGCATTTTCTAAAGTCAAATGTCGTGATTTCTGTTCTTAGGATCATTGTCAACGCTTAAGCTACTATAGTCCATGTAGAATGTGGCAGGTCATAATTTGATCTACCATTTAATATTTTTGCCTGATTAGATAGCATATTTCCTTGTTGACCTGACATTCCTTTTTTTTTCTTTTTTCTTCCTTTTTCAAATAAATGTATTGTACACTACCTTTTTCATGCCACGAACTCCTGTTTTGAAACTCTTGTACCACTTTTGTAGGCATTTGATAGAGAAGGAAAACTAAGGGCAATTTGCGGTGGTGGAAGGTATGATAGATTGCTTTCAACATTTGGAAGTGAAGATATACGAGCTTGTGGCTTTGGATTTGGAGATGCTGTTATAGTGGAAGTATGGCATGTTCTGTCTTATCTCTGGTTCTTTTCTTTTTAGAATTATAAGCAATCTGGTTGGTGTAATATTAAGTTCAGGTTTAGATAGATGTTTAATGCAGATATAAGGGCAACATCTGTTAATATGAGCCTAAACAATAACCAATTCAAGACACTAACCATCGCAAGTGCTATGTGTGTGCTAATTCATGCAATGTGGAGTCTGGAAATAAAAGTCTAATACTTAACAACATGAATTAGCAGTAGTTTTTCTTAATAAAAGTCTGAGTTGGGAGTCTGCTGTGAAGAAGGAAAGGTGTCTCTGGAGCTTGGTCATGGCCTGCGTGCTGTTGGTGCCAGAACTGGGCATGCATTAAAAGTAGTTTTCGCGTGTGGTTGGACGCTTTGTTTGGCTGGTGACGTTTGTGATCTAGTTAAAACGCTTGTCGGTTACGTTGGTCGTTTTGTGCCGGCTAGGTGAACCCTTTGTGTTCATTCCAGTTAGGCCTTTCCTTAGGTTCGGTGCATTTTTCTTTTGGATTTACAGACTGTTGTAATTTCGTTGCTTTAGAGTAATGAAATTCGGTTAGTCCGTGGTGGAAAAAAAGATAACATGAATTTCTTGGAAAGTATTAGTGCAGTTTATACATCATTTTGAGTTTGAGGTACTGCTTCAAGGGAGTGGCATTTATTTAATTGTAATTTGTGTTCTAACAGCTGCTCAAAGAAAAGGGTCTTTTGCCTGATCTGTCGCGTCAAGTTGATGACATTGTCTTCCCTTTGGACGAAGAACTTGAAGGACCGGCATCCAGTATTGCTTCCTCTCTGAGAAAGAAAGGGCGTTCTGTTCACCTTGTAGAAGACAAGCGTCTCAAATGGTATACCTACCATATTTTCCCTTCTTTATTTATTGCTGTGTCTGAAATATCCATTTTGATACTACCAGGGTATTTAAGCACACAGAGAGGATCAATGCTAGCAGGCTGGTATTGGTTGGAAATTCGGAGTGGGATCGAGGCATGGTTCAAGTAAAGATACTATCAACCAGGGAAGAATTCGAGGTAAAGGCAGGTGAACTAGAGTGATTGTTTTGCTGATTATAAGGATCACTTCAAAAAATCATGGGTTTTCTTTTCCTTCTCTCTCTGTCATGTCTTAGAAATCGTGTAGATACATGGAAAAGATACAACTCATGGCATGAACCTATGCTCTCTGTGTTGTATCGTCATTTGTTTAGCTAGTTTCAGTAGCGCTAAGAGTTATCAACAGACGTTGTAAAAATGTTAGGTGTTATGCTAGCCTCGGCTAATGCTGCTGGTGAGTGAGATGGATAAAATCAAACCGGAGCTAGCTAGCCCTGGAGTTTAACCCGCTGTAACAGTATGTTCTGTGAGTAAATTGTTGCTGCTGTTATGTAAGCCTGTAACAACCAATCATATTCATTCAGAATGCATGAGCCAGGTAGTATGTTCATTTGACTGGAAGTATACATGACACATTAACGTACAACCTACAGTGACTGAGGTCCAGCTTGGCTATGAAGCCTTTTTTTTTTTGTTTTGTTTTGGTTGAATCTGTTTTTTCCTTTATAATATAGCACTATAAAAAAAATCTGATTTATCATGACTATTCCCCACGCGATCGATACAAGGCTACAAATAATTTTAACCAATGTTAGGGACTTTGGATCACAGGCACTGACAGTCGTCGGCGCGCTGTTGGTGGGTTGGTCAGGACTCATCATGACTCATGAGACTCATCAGGAGGGTGCCGTGGCGCCAACGTAGCCGAAGCCAACGATAAAGGCCGCCGCCGATTGCAGGAGCAGGTACAGGTAGTAGTGGTCGCGGCCGAAGAAGACAATGTCGTAGACGGCGCAATAGAGCAAGCACGCCCCCATGGCGAGCTCCAGCACATGCATCTCCCGTCTGGTGCTGCAGCACCTGCTCCGGAGCACCTGCTGTTTCTTCTTCCTCGCGACAACCGGAGCAGCCTTGCCGCTGCCGAGCTTGTCGGTGACCACCCACTCGTTGGCGCGGCTGGCCTCCAGCAGGCCGATGACGGCTGCCTTGGATCGGTGCATGGACATGACGTTCTCGAAGAGGATCCAGAAGATGAGGAGGTGGCAGGACCTGGGCGTGCAGGCGGCGTTGAGCAGCGTGATGAGCGCCGGCACGTACATGGCCACGTACTTGGGCAGGCGCACGTCGCCCTGCACCAGCACGCAGGCCGGGATGACGACGCAGTAGAAGAGGAAGGTGACGAGGTGCGCCACCAGCTTCCTGACGAAGAAGAAGGCGTAGAGGAGGTGCAGCTTCTTCCCCAGCGACACCCGGTCGCTGCGGAGGATCTCCGGGAGAACCTTGCGGAACAGGTTGGCGGGGCCGCAGGACCACCGGTGCTGCTGGTAGCGGTACGCCTTGAAGGTGCTGGGCAGCTCGTTGCGCACGACGAGGTCGCCGACGTAGACGAAGCGCCAGCCGCGCAGGCTGGCGCGCACGGCCAGGTCCATGTCCTCCACGGTGGTGCGCTCCTTCCATCCCCCCGCGTCCACCAGCGCGGCGACGCGCCACACCCCCGCCGTGCCGTTGAAACCGAAGAAGGCGTGGCAGGCGGAGCCCACCTCCTGCTCCACGGCGAAGTGGTAGTTGAGGGACATCTCCTGGATGCGCGTGAGGATGCAGTCGTCGGCGTTGACGTAGCGCCAGCGGGCCTGCACCAGCGCCACCCCGGGGTCCCGCCGCAGCAGCGGCACGGTGCGGCGGAGGAAGTCGGAGTCCGGCTGGAAGTCGGCGTCGAAGATGGCCACGAACTCGCACTCCCTGGCGTAGTGCTTCTTGAGGCCCTCGTGCATGGCGCCGGCCTTGTACCCGTTGCGGTTGCTGCGGTTCTCGTAGCGGATGCGCACGCCCTTGCCCGCCCACCGCGCGCACTCCACCTCCACCAGCTCCCTGATGGCCGGGTTCGTCGAGTCATCCAGCACTTGAATCACCAGCCTGTCCGATGGCCATGACATCCCGCACGCCGCTCCGATGGACAGCCGGTACACCTGCATGCATGCGCGTGTTTTTTTATTGCCCCATTAGTCAAATGGCCATTAGCATTATTTCAATTTTGCCCCATCGGATTTTCAATCCACGGCTATGACCAATTTTCTCTCGACGTTAATTATCTGCGTCACGGCCACGGACAGGATCGCTAGCAACAAATCGTGAGAGTTGACCTCTCAATGCAGGATGATATGCAAAACGAATGCTCCAAACAAGTAATTAATATTCATCATGAAAACAAACAGAACCATATCTAGCTCTTTCTTCTTCTTCATTTCTGTGGCTTGTGACGTGGGGGGGAAAAAGAAAAGAAATTAAAAGAAAAAGAAGAAACGCGTCCCAAGTAAAGAAAAATAAAGTAGCTTTAGTTTCTAGCTTCTACATCAATGAGAAACATTTTAAAGAGAATAACACGCAGCAACTACTAACTGCACACGAGGAACGCACACATATAGTACGATGCAGCGTGCCTGGGGTGATCGATCATGCATGCTCCGACCCCTTTCAGTTGTTTGGCGTGCCGGCTTCACGCACGCTTTCTTTTCTTGCATTGCGCCGGTACAAACAAACAAATACTACTTGTACTAGTACTGCAATGTCATACCATACTGGTGTGCATTTATTGTGTGCCAATGCCAATCAGCTAGTAGGAGTATGCTACTAGCAGTAAATAAGGAAGCTCGAAGCAGAAATCTGATCTGAATTGGATGCTAGCAATAATAATAAAGCGTTCTCGCTCACCTGCCCCTCGTTGAACATTGGGATCTGGACCAGGACCATGGGGCACCAGTGGTCGTCGTCGCCGGCCTCCAGGTCGTCGTCGTCGTCCAGCATCATGCGCTGCTTGCGGCGGCGGCGGCGCAGCCAGAGCCCGGTGATCACGGCCGCCATGTAGAGGCGCTCGAGGAAGAGCATCAGCGACATGGCGGCGCAGAGGTACACGGCCAGCTGCAGCGTCGGCACCACCACGGACCACCGCACCGCCTGCCAGGCCGCGCGCATCACGGACGACGGCGGCATCGTCGCCGGAGACCGAGACCCTGATGCGGCTGCCGCCGCAGCACCCAACAACCCGAGCCTCCTCATGGCTCTGCCTTATTATTAGCTACAGCTTGCTTGCTCGCCGATTAATAGCCAAGAACAGTCGCCATGTGTAGGCAATAGGCATGGATCCGATTGCAGAGTGCACGTACTACGTATACCGTGGAGTGAAGAAGGGCTGTCTGTCTGTGTATTTATATACAAAACAAATCCTGGACGCTACTAGACCAGAAGACAGATAGTATAAAAAAATAAATATACGATTAATTAATTTTGACATGTACTCCACTGTATGCATCTGCTTCCCGGCCAGCTAGCGCCTAGCGCTAGTGCGCTCTGCCTCTGCCTAAGACGACGCTGCTTCCATCTGTGACGTATCTGTACTGCCGCCGCTTAGTGCTTTGCTTTGCGAATTGCGATGGTGGTTTTTTTGGCTGTGCGCGCGTCATGTATGTGTATGTGTATGTACTCCAGCCGTAGAAATAGTACTGGATGTGCGGTATAGTGCGGTGCGTATATGGCCGACGATAGCGTACACGTGCACGTGCGTACACGCGATGCATCATGCATGTCATCGATCAGCTGTTTGCGGCAGCAGCCCGCGGTACAATTGACATTGGGCCCATTGGGGCCCAGCTAGCCAACACAAGCACAAGGTATTATTAATGCAACTGCAGCACCTACGCGCCTTGATAAATATAATAAAATATAAATATAAGTATGAAGATATCCTTCTCCATCTTATGCATTGTCTATATGTACGAGATATATATAGATATAGATAAGAACCAGCTCCTGTGACATCTTCTTCCATGCATGCCTCCTGCTGCCTGGCTGGCACATCACAGATTCACAGTACTATCTCCACTCAGTGATATAGTTCAAAATATCTTTAGTTTGATTAAGTTTACAAAAAATATTATCAGTATGTATGGCTATAAATAGCAGGTATACAGTAAAAATATATTTAGTGACAAACCTAATGGTATTATTACTCTATCTGTCCCAATCTAACTACACATTTTGCTTGTCAAAAAATCAAACACTTTTAAGTTTGACAAGTATATTTTAAAAAATACTCTTATTTATTATGTGCATAAGTATGATTAGATTAAAAGTAGAATATTCATAATAAACTTATTCAAAGTACAATTATTGATATTATTTTTCATATAATTGATCAAACTTAAAAATGTTTGACTCTTCGAGAAGCGAAGATGTGCACTTATTTTTGGATAGAAAAGTTTTTAGTATAATAAATTTTATTATTGTTTTATATAAATTTGGTCAAACTTAAATCATTGAGCTTAGCAATATTAATTCTAGAATGACATCTTTTTAGGATGAGGGACTGAGGGAGTATATACTACTGTATAAGATTAATTAAGAGTAAAATGTACAGAAGGTCCATTAATTTTTATTGGGGTGTCATTTAGGTCCATCAATTTTGAAACTATATTTTTTAGTCTATGAACATTTAAAATAGTTCACTGTAGGTTCATACCTATTTATTTAACATTAAATTCAACGTATATTTGTAGAACCTCCCTATCTTTCTTTATCTTCTGCATGTTCACCCTTCCTACTCAACGGTCAACGCACCAGCAAGTGAAGAATGGCGCACGCTAGTAGGTGAACAATTGCACTCGCTGTGGCGAACTGCACATTGGCTGGTCGCGTCCTCGACGAGCAGGCTGCGGCTCCGCTGCCGGCTGACCCGCTGCCCGCCCCGAAGGATCCCCCAACAAACCCAGTGGTTGCGCCAGCGGCTGGCCCAGCCGCAGCCTCCGGCGCTGCGGGAGCAGCGAGTGCTGGTGCCGCCGCGACGGGCAACGCAGGAGCCGCCGGCGTGGGCGTGGGCGAGCACCCGCTGACGTTCTTCATGCACGACATCCTCGGCGGCTCGCAGCCGTCGGGGCGCATCGTGACCGGCGTGGTGACGAGCGCGGTGGCCAACGGGCAGCTCCCGTTCGCGCGCCCCATCACCAACATCTTCCCGCAGTCCTCATCAACAGCAACAACGTGCCCTACGTCGCGGGCCTCGGCGGCACGTCCTCCGCCGTCGTCCAGAACAACGGCAACGAGCCCGTCAACGGCGGCAACAAGAACATCCCCTTCGTCAACGCCGCGTATGGTCTCGGACTTCCAGAAGCGCATCATGGATGAGAATTGAGGAGCACAAGCTACGAGTCTCAGCATACTGTATCATACCGACAGAGCTCTTTTTGGTGCCTTGAAGCCCTTGACAGAGCTCAGATGAAGGACTAATTGCCAAAAGTTCCTTCCTCCAGGGCGAGTTATTTTTTGTGACAGGACATCCGTTCTTTGGTTACGGTTTCTTCGATACATAAAGTTCACCATAGAATTACATGGTAGCCTTTCAGCGAACAGTGAGAGGTCTACATGTCCCTCTTCCTAATGTTGTTCTTGAAACCCATCCAGCTCCATTTTACGTAGGATGATGTCATATCATCATGCCATTTCTTTTAGGAGTAGCCATCTCAGAATAGCAGAAAACATCCTTGATTTACTCGTACAATCTCACAATATGCTGATGCGATCATAGCACCTATTAGTACATTACATACATGGCCGAAAGCTGGCATAGTACTTGGAATCACAAACATCGCACGAAACTGCAGGAAGGACAGGTAATTGTCGATGTAATGGTAATGGAGCGGCTTATTAAATGAGGTGAACATTGAACTGGAGTAGAGTCTCGACGCCGTCGGTGGTGTGCTCGTCGCCAGGGTGTAGCGTTTGGATGGCGGCGAAGCCCTTGGCGTGCTCGTACTTGCCGGTGCCTCCGATGATGGCGATGTGGGACTCCGGCGCGGCCATGCGGTGGACCCCGAAGAAGCTGAGCGTGTCGCCGCCATGCGGTGCCTCGGGGCCCTCGAACATGGCGGTGAGCAAGATGGTCTTGCTGGTGCCGTCCTGCGTGCTGGCGACGTAGAAGCCCTGCGCCCTGCCGATGACCCCCGCGCCGAGCTCGTGTCCCTCGGTGAGCTCATCGTCGATGACGGTGGTGGTGCCAAAGAGGAGGTTCTGGAGCGTGACGCCCGACGGCAGGTCCCCGGCGTTGACGAAGGGGATGTTCTTGTTGCCGCCGTTGACGGGGTTGCCGTTGTTCTGGACGACGGCGGAGGACATGCCGCCGAGGCCCGCGACGTAGGGCACGTTGTTGCTGTTGATGAGGTTGCTGGCGCCCTGCGGCAGCGGCATCGCATCCTGGATCGGGAAGATGTTGGTGTTGGGGCGCGTGAACGGGAGCTGCCCGTTGGCCGCCGCGCTCGCCACCACGCCGGTCACGATGCGCCCCACGGCTACGAGCCGCCGAGGATGTCGTGCGTGAAAAACGTCAGCGGGTGGTCGCCCACGCCCGCGCCGGTGGCTCCTGCGTTGCCCGTCGTGGTGGCACCAGCACTCGCTGCTCCCGCAGCGCCAGAGGCTGCGGCTAGGCCGGCCGCTGGCGCAACCACTGGGTCTGTTGGGGGATCCGTCGGGGCGGGCAGTGGGTCAGCCGGCAGCGGAGCCGCAACCTGCTCGTCGAGGACGCGACCAGCCAATGCGCAGTTCTCCACAGCGAGCGCGATTCTTCAACTACTAGCGTGCGCCTTTTTTCACTTCCCGGGTCCACCGTTGAGCAGGAAGGGTAAACACATAGAAGATAAAGAAAGGTAGGGGTTTTTCTGTAAATGTACGTTGGATTTAAGGTTAAATAAATGGGTATGGATCTGCAGTGAACTATTTTAAAAGTTTATAGACCAAAAAATGTAGTTTCAAAGTTGATGGAACTAAATGACACTCCCAACAAAAATTAATGAATCTCCGGTGCATTTTACTCATTAATTAAAGTCCCCTTAGGGTGGCAAACCATGGGCCACTTTGATGCAGCTCCTAGGAGACTTGGTCTCACACTGTAGCAGTATTAGTAGGGTCGAAGATGCCCCAACGCTATGGGCCTGTTTGCACGGGCGGAGCCTCTTGGAGGCGAAGCTGGGCTGCTGCCCCCTACCCTAAACAAGTTTCTAAAGCTAGCTGTAATGAAGTTATTTAGCACAAGACTTAAGGTATCAACTCATCCATAATCCAATCACGTCTTTTCTATTTCGCCTCCTCTTCGTTTTGCGTCAGGCTCCGCTGCTGCCTGTTTGGGACCGCTCCTCCAACAAAAAAGTGAATCTAGATCTCCACTAGTGGAGCTGAGATCCAGTGAAGGACTCTTTGGCAAAATAGGCGGATCTAGATCCATCCAAGGGCATTTTGGCTGGAACTGCGTATTTTGCCCTTGGAATAGGCCCACTTATCAACATCTTAGTTGTTCTTCCTCAGGCAAAACAAAACGCACGTGGGCCACGGCTACTATTGCTCCTCCGATGACTGGCGATGCGCTGCTGCTCCGACTGCCATGGCGCAGGGAAGGGCCAGGAGTGACGGCGCGTGGGGCAGCCGCGACCGCCGAGCACACGCGTGGTGCTGTGGACACAGCGAGGGTGAAAGCTCTAGTCTGGTTTTGGTGAATTGATGAAACCCTAAGTGCTAACCTAGTTTATCAAGTGATCATGAGATAGGTAGCACACTCCAAGTGGTGAAGCAAATGAAGATCATATCATGATAAAGATGATGGCATGGTGATGATCAAGTGCTTCGACTTGGAAAGAAGAAAGAGAAAAACAAAAAGGCTCAATGCAAAGGTATAATTTGTAAGAGCTATTTTGTTTTGGTGATCAAGACATTTAGAGAGTGTGATCACATTTAGGATTGATAGCTGTACTATTAAGAGGGGTGAAACTCGTATCGAAATGCGGTTATCAAAGTGCCACTAGATGCTCTAACTCATTGCATATGCATTTAGGATCTAGTGGAGTGCTAAAACCCTTGAAAATATTTGTGAAAATATGCTAACACTTGTGCACAAGGTAATACACTTGATGGTGTTGGCACATTTACAAAGGAGGTGGCGCTTTCGGGAAAATAGAATGCATATTTTCTATTGCGTCGTATGCAAATTCTTAATGGTTGGCATATTGAAGTAAGGGTGGAGAAGATAGAAGTGAGAACAGAGCTGATGCCAGCATCGGTCCAGTGACCGGACGCTGAATCCAGAAGCACCGGACGCTGACTGCCTGCGTCCGGTCGCGTTGACTGTCGGTACAGTGGCTAGGGTTTACCACCGGACGCTGGGCTGTGTCCGGTCGAGGTGGACCGGACGCGTCCGGTCGAGAAAAACCAGGTTTTGACCCTTACTGTACTCGACCGGACGCTGAGGTTTCAGCGTCCGGTCAGTTTTAACCGGAGCGTCCGGTCAGCGTCATAGCCGTTGGAATCTGACGAACAGCGTTTGAAGCCGATGACACGTGGCGTCCATCTGTGGACCGGACGCTGAGTCCAGGGTCCGATCAAGTGGACCGGAGCGTCCGGTCAGAGCGCAGAGTACCCAGTGAAGGGGTACAACGGCTCTATTTCGTGGGGGCTTCTATTTAAGCCCCATGGCCGGCTCAAGCTCATTCTCTTGGCCATTTGCATTGACATAGCAACCTTGTGAGCTTAGCCAAAGCCCTCCCACTCATTTCCATCATAGATTAAACATCTTTGTAAGATTGGGAGAGAATCCAAGTGCATTGCTTGAGTTGTTGCATCTAGAGACACTTGGTGTTCGTGTTTCGCTGCGGATTTCGCTTGTTACTCTTGGTGGTTGTCGCCACCTAGACGGCTTGGAGCAGCAAGGATCGTTGAGTGGAGGAGGTGATTGTCTCCGACTCCAATCATGGTGATTGTGAGGGGTTCTTGACCTTTCCCCGGCGGAGCGCCAAAAGGTACTCTAGTAAATTGCTTGTGGCTTGTGTGATCCTCATCTTGTGTTGGTTGTGCGGCACCCTATTGAGGGTTTGGTGAGTGATGCCAATCAGCGCGTGAACCTCCAAGTGAGTGAATCGCCACAACGAGGACTAGCTTGCCGGCAAGCAAGTGAACCTCGGTAAAAATCATTGTGTTTATCATTTGATTCCGAGGTGATTGGTCTACATTGGTATTCATTATTGTGATTGATTGGTTCCTACCACTACACGGCGGTATAACTCTCTTGCTCACTCTTACATTACCGCAAACTAGTTATCAAGCTCTTTAGTGTAGCTAGTTGTGAGAGCTTGTTTGTTTGATTAGTGTTGCTCTTTAGTTAGTCTTTGATAGCACACTAATTTAGCTAAGTGTCATAGCTATTGTGTGGACATACACTATTCGAAATAGAATTGTGGTAGGTGGCTTACATTTTAGTAGGCTAGCGCAACACTCGCTTCGCCGCAAAATTGTCTAACACATTTTGTTAAGTGTTGTTGTAGAATTTTATTAGGCTATTCACCCCCCCTCTAGCCATTAGGACCTTTCAGAGGGGGCGCGACGTGCTGCCAGGCGAGGCTCCACAGCCGAGTGCCGCACGTCGGAGAGGGGCGCGGGACCTGCGCGGCAGAGCATAGGGTCGCGTGGGGGCAGGACGTGCGCGGCGGAGCACGAGCTCGGCGGGGGCTTACACGAACGAGCTAGACACGCTCATAGGGGTCGGCGAGGGCAGGACGTGCTGCAGGTGTACATTTGGGCGTACATTGAGTTCACGAACGAGCTAGACACGCTCACGGCGTCTAGTGTAAGTAAATTTTATTTTCCATACAGGTTTGAAATGGTTTAGTATAGCATCTAACATCTTGTTTAGACATGTTGACGGTGTTGTGGGAGCCGTACGATGGAGAGGGGGCACTTCCTTTTCAGTTGAGCAACATGTGTGGGTGCGACGATGACTTCTACTGGATAATGTGCCCTCTAATCTGTTTCTATGCTGTCGAGTTCCACCTGCCAGATAGAGTTACACGCCAATTTGGAGTGAGACATCTTTGGCCAACAGCTCTGTTTTCGATTAGCGTTGACTTACATAAGTAAGTGTTTTGCTATTTCAATTGTCTCGTGATGGTCCATTTCCATTAATTCCTATATAAGATGAAGTAATGATGACATACGTGCACTTTTAATATGGTGACATGTACATGGATTGAGAAACTAACATCGTACGTGACGTGTAGGTTGGATCGTCAGAAGAACAGGAAGATTTTTGATTGGGAGAAGCATCACCAGTACTACATTGAACAATGGGAGCTGTTGCACGACAACGTGGACGAGAACAACGAGCCATACACAAACCGTGAGTACAGGCGCTACCAAGCTTGATACCAACGTGCGATATGTTGCAGGCTGAGGCTACAATGGACAGAAGATGATTACGCCGACATCGAGTCCTCCGACGATGAAGACACGGCGTACGACCAAACTACTCGTGTAGGAAGGCAGGTGGAGGCAGGACCAATCTTGGACAGAGTGGTAAGTCAATTACTTTATTTTGTTATGTTAAGTTGCATACCAATCATTTAGCTAGGTTTCCTTATCATTGGTGCACCTTCGAGTCGTAGCATCCTTATACTTAATTTAATCATGCAACATAATCATGCCTTCAGAAGAGGACTGGATGGAGTTTGATTTCTTCCATTCTTTAGAGAACCTGTTCTGTTCATAAACCAATCATTTAGCTAGGTTTCCTTATCATTGGTCTGGATGCAAAAAAATAAAAATTGAACAGACCTACTATTAGCAGTAGATGTCAATCAGCTAGGTGTTTTGAAGATAATTCAGTACAACAGATAGAGTTGAGGAACTAGTCAGGAATTAACTAGTACTCCGTACTAGATTAGTAATGTTCTTATTTTTCAATGTCCACCACAATCTTACTGAGAACTTTGTTGTAGGGCAATACCCTCAAATGCTCAGTTGAAGACATTGAGCGCTTTCGTCCGAGAGTTAGGGATGACGACACGCGAAGCTTCCTAGATATAAGATTCAAAATATTCTTTCAAATATATTATTAATACGTTAAATTCTTTCAGTTAACATAATTTTGTACAATAATGACTGTCACGTCAGCTACGCCGTGCGGCTGCTCGTTGTGGTTGTAGGACAACCACGATGCAAGACGTGCACGTTCCTTTCGTAGGCTTAGGTTCGTCTAGCCAAGTACCTACAGGGTCCATAGGCATTGCATACGAGGACGAGGACGATGAGGACGAGGATGAGGACAAGGACGACGACAAGGTGGACCTGAGGCACGAGGAGCTTGGCCCGTCTCAGCTCTAGGACGCTCCCTCGACTTAGTCTACATAGCCTTCAGGCAATAGGCGACGTCG